CCTTCCCTGGAGAGTGAGGAACAAAACATTTTAAAACATTTGGGGTTTTTTAAGAGATAAAATACACGGTAATTGCAGCTTTCACCAACTAAAATTCTACATAACATCATGAAAATTATTGTGATTTATATTGCATTTCTAAGACAAATAAATTCCCCATTAAAAATTCAAATTTTAAACCAGCACTGCATCCACCACAGCTGAATGTACTATAAAAAATATTTTTAAATAAAAGACTTAAGACTTGAGTGACAATTTAAGCAAAACTGCCATGCTGTTCTTTTCAACAGCTCTTCTTACAATCTGCTGGTAATTATTTTTCTCATAACATAAAAAGGTAAAACTCAGGTCCCATGCAATAACAAAAATGACAGTTGATGAGGCAAGAGTTTCTTAACAGCATCCTGCAAAGCTGCCAAGGAACATTTCCCTGAGGGCAGGTTACAGCACTGTGTTGCCATGTTTTTGTTCCTGCACTAATAAAATAATACTCTGAGTTTCCACTCTGGTTGCTAATCAGGAAAAGCTTCTTTTTGCTACCAGTTTGTTTAAAATCAGGGCTAATGTGTGACTGTAGCAAGTGACAGTGCAGTGTGCTCAGCTCCTGTGCTGCCAAATGGATTATCTACAGTAGGGTGCAGATGCTCCAGTCCCATTTTCCCTTTGTTTGGGGTCATACTTTGTGATATTATCAATATCACAATTTCTGATATCATCAATACACTCAGAAGCAGCCTGGAGCACCCTTCACCTGAGCCATCCTTCCACACCAAGCAGCAGAAGAACAGTCAGACACAACCAGCTCCCCCTCACTGTTTTGCCCTCTGGCTGCTCCAGCCCTTCCCACGTTCCTACCCCGGGAGCTTCCGAAACTCTGTGAAAATCTTGTTTCGCTTGTGCTTCATTTTCCCGTGGATGCTCATTATTTTCACCTGCTTAATTAAGCATTCCAGAGCCTTCCCATAGTATTCCACACAGGCACACGTGCTGTTGTGATAAAGACAGGCATAAAGCAAAAGGTTATGCTGCATTTTTAATCAGGTTTAGACAGTCAAGCTAGAGTTTCCCAAGCTCTTTCAAAAATATACACTATTTTTATTTAAAACATGCACATAATTTTTATAATTAACATATAATCATCTATAATGTCTTACTTTAACAATGCATAAAATTTATATTTTCCTTAATAACACAATCCTGACATGAAGCAATGATTAATGTCTTTTTAGGCACCATATTCTAAAAACAGCTCTCAAAATTAATCCCTTTGAAAATAGTTGTGTCCTTTGCAAGAAAGGGCAGAGTTCTGGAATTTGGGTAATGAAACATCAAACTGTTCTCACAATGAAACACAAACAGAATTACCTGAAAAAGACCAGATGCTTTTCCTGCTTGTGCTGCCGAAGAAAATGCACCAGCTGGTTAAATTTCTCATCTGCCTTGCAGATCTACAAAATGCAAAAGAAAAACATAAGAAAACGGACTTTGGCTCTCCTGTTAACGTGAATCCTAACTATCCAAGACTTAAAATCTTATGGATAGGACCAGGAAGAAAGGAGAGGGGACAGGGAGCTCAGCCAGAGCCCAGGCTCACACCATGTAGTAGTTCTCCAGGCGTGTCGGGGTTTTCTGGGTGTTGCTGGCTGCCACTCCCTTCTCCTTGACCGAGATGCGCACGGGGTTCCGCAGCCCTGCCCTCACCAGGTTCTCCACCTCCTGGGTCTGGGTGGCTGAGAACAGACCCGTCCTCCTCTGCTTGGGCAAAAAGTCCAGAATGGCATTCAAGCTGCAGGGAAGCACATGGAAAATGTAACTGTCCCAAGGCTTCCCTCAGGAAGAGCTTTAATCACTCCAGAAATATCCAAGCAGGAAATAATATTCAATTCCTACCCAGGCAACTGTAGCTCTCAGCTACACTGACTGAAAATTGACAAAAGCACCCTCAGGCCATAATTCTGCACCTCTGAGAAATAAAAATCCTACTACTGACCAGCATCAGTGCTGGAAAGGAGTTTACAAGCAAAATAGGCTTTGTTATCACATGTCAAACTGCTACTGAAATAACTACCTTAACTCTGAGAGAAAGAGAGATAAGCTATTACCCCTCTTTCTCCCAGAAAAATACAGAAAAGAGAGATCAAAGCTTATTGGTTAAAGTGTTTTAAGCCATTCTGGAGTGTGAATAATGATATTTATTAATAGAGATATGCTAACATACATCTCAACAAAGGAAATTCCATATTCATTGAAGCTCTATATTTCCTGATTCTCCTCCCACATAGCAACTGCTTTGTGTAGTTACAGAGCAAAGATGAAAGAACAAATTCAGAAATTTCAAAAAAAAACCAGAACAAATGAACTTTGGAGGCCACTGCAGGCCACGCTCATTCACATCAACTCATTTAAAACTGCAGAAGAACCACCAGAATTCATTATTTCAATACCTGGCTTCAAAGCCCATATCCAGGAGTCTGTCTGCTTCATCCAACACCAGCACATCCAGAGCCTTGACACAGCTGGCAAGGTCCAGCCCATCTGCTTTCCTCCTGAACAGATCCTCCAGGCGGCCCGGGGTGGCCACGATGATGTTGCCACTGTTGGTCACACACAGCAATTCCCTCACTACAGGGGGAGGAATCTGGGAGAACTCCTGGTGTTGTTAGCACAGCACAGCCCTGCCCTGCATTCTTCAGTCAAACGATTTCATCTTGTCACTTTTAACTGCAGCCACATTTCAGGTATCACGGCATGGGGGGAAATGCCCCAGTGAAAGCACATCCCCTGTGGCAATAAAGTTCTCAAAATTCTAAATATAAACAGCAGGTATGGACAGCAGCTGTCAGCTGCAGGAATGTTTGGGACCTCCATGCAAAAGCCAGTGGCAAATAGGATTCCTTCAAAACTCCAGCATCAGCACCAAACAATTCCAGGAAATTAATGAGCAGGGAGAAGTGAAATATCCACTGAAGGCACTTTTCAGCTCTGTTCTTCACCCAAACAGCAGAAAAATGGTGCTGATGTCACATAAGAGCTGCACCTCGCTCCAGGAACAGACCCCACAATTTCCCAGCTCACCCCAAAAGATTCTGGCAGCACCATCCCAGCAGGATCACAGCTCTGGGCTGAAAACCCTGACAAGGAGAAACCACAGCTCTGAGAACTGACAAACAACTCACCCATGCTCCTTGAACTTCTCAACATCTTCCATGGGGTTCCTCCCACCAATCAAAAGAATCTGACTAAAACAGTAAAACAGAAAGATTTGGGTCATCTGGAAGTTTTGCTGGTTCACCAGAGACAGAAGGAACTGTGGTCATGGGAATGCTGAAGTTCACCCACCTGAACATGGGGAAGTGTTTTGTGAAATGTGACAGCACCTCATCAATCTGAATGGCCAGCTCCCTGGTCGGTGTGATAATTATAGCTCCAACCTGAAAAACAGGAATTTGTGGGGAGGAAAAAAAGAAACATTTGGGCAGAATCCTCCCTTTCAAGCTGAATTAACATGAGCCATGATTTTGAGCCTTGTTTCAGACAAAACATTTCCCCATAAATACAATAAAGTATAAAAAACATCCATATTTTGGGACATTTTTCTAACATCTCAGAACCCTGTTCTGTTCATGCCAGAGAAGAAGCTGTACCTAAGTGCAGTGGGAGCACCCCAATTCTGTTTCCAGGTTTTAAACAGTTTATTGTTGCTGAGCACACAGTCACTCTGTGTTGGTAATATTCCTTATGGATATTTTCTTGAAGTTCTCAAATCTTACTGGCACATCATAAAAAGGAACTCAGTACTGAATATTTTAACCTCACCTGCATTTTCTTTAATTTTTCTTCCCGTCTGAGAAGAATTTCCAGTATGGGAATCACAAACGCCAAGGTTTTCCCACTGCCTGTGACCTGTGAGAGTGGAAAGAGCGTCAGGCCTCCCTCAGCTCCAGAGACAAGGCCGGAAAACAACGAGCTGCACGAAGGAAAAGCACTCACCGCTTCTGCAGCCACGTCTTTGTTACTCATGAACAGCGGGATGGTCGCAGACTGCAAAAAGAGAAGCACCACATGAACAGGCGGAGGTAAATCTCACAGAGGTGAAACTCCTCCGACACATCAGAGCTCGCTGTGAACACCACCCACGCAGAGCCGGTGGGAAAGTCACGGCTGCGGCTTCTCGCTGCTACAGGACCCGGTGACTGCTGCGACCGGGCCGGCCCCGGCGCTCCTCACACCGCCCGCGCCCTCCTTCCTCAGCCCGGCCTCCCCTTCCCCGGGCGTGCCGCGGGTCCCTGCACCTGCACCGGGGTCATCTGGTGGAAGCGGAGCTCCCGCAGCGCCCGCAGCACGCCCGGGCTCAGCGGCACCGGCAGCGAGCTCCAGCCGCCCTCAGTCACCGCCTCCATCTTGGCGCGCCGGTGTCACCGCCCCGCCGCTCCCCCGCCCCGCGGCCGCCGCGGCGGCGCCCGGCGGAAACACACACCGCGGCACCTCGCGTTCCGCTGCACAGCAGTTCCGCCGCCGGGCTTCGGCTCCGCGGCGAAAAACAAAATTCGGATTTAACAAAAAATTCCCATTTTTATGGCGAGCTGCCTATCGCAGCGAGTACTTCTGCGGGTCTTACAGCAGCGCTGTGCCAGCCCATTACCCCAAAACTAAGATGTAGGTTCAGAGTTACCTGATATTAATTCTACCTGCCCCCAGAGCTGGATGGACTCCGGATAAATTCTCAATATTCTAAGGAAGCAGGGAATCACAGAATCGTTAGGATGGAGAAAACTCTGGAGTCATGCAGCAGGTGACACAGGAACACACCCAGGTGGGTTTGGAATGTCTGCACACAGGGAGAATCCACAGCCTCCCTGGGCAGCTCCAGGGCTCACATCACATTGATATGGAACTTCTTGTAGTTTAATTTATGGCCACTATTAAACAAATAATTTATAAAAATCCCTTTGTGTTAATCTGTACTTCCTTAAGGTATCAAAGAAAAAACCACAAAGCCATTTTTTATTTTTTTTAAAGAATTTGTTTATTTATCGAACCTGGGTCATATTTAGATTCACGAGCAATTTTTAAATGTACATCTTAGAATTCAATTTTCAGTGTTTTACACAAAAATATTGGCACACAACAGTTGCAATAAGGTGTAACAGCCACCTCTCTGAAGAACTGCTGCAAGTGTTTGCCCGAGGTTGAAAAAACTTTACCTGGAACATGAAAACCTGTAACAAATTTTAAATTAATTGTACAAAACTGTTGTGTGTTACTTGTAGAGGCTCCCCCCTGGAAAAGACCCCACCCCGCCCCCAAAAATGATTACAACTAATATACATCAGTCACAACATAATCCTGGCTCAGCACCCACATCAGACGCTTCTTAAATTTTTAAACCAATCATCAGGTAACTGAGGAAAGTAACTTTATACAAAAACAAATCTACATGTGCCTGAAGAAAGAAAACACACCAGTATTTAGCATTATGCTAATTCTGATCAGATCATGGCAGAGTTTGCCACTGCACTTAAATACAAGGGCTGCATAGCGTGGATTGAACCCCCAGGATCCAGAACCCTTTGGCCTCAGGAATCCAGATTTCCTGAACTCTTCTGCCCTGGGCACTGGGCAAACAGTCTGAGCTTTGGACCTGCAAAAGCCAAAGGGTTCACGAGTGTTTGCCAAGACACTGCACACAATTGGCTTCCAAATAAAACCTCTGAGAGACTGAAAACCGTGTAAGGAACATTTGGTGATGAGCAGAGAGGAGAAGGAAAAAAAAAAAAAAAAAAAAAGGCATTTTCCTATCAACTATTTAATTAAAAAGAACTTTGGGAAGAAGTTGGTATCATTAAGACAGTTGCTGATGACTATCTTTTGAATAGCAACTAGGTATGAATTTTAACCTTTTCCTTGGCAGTTTCTGTGAGTGGAGAAGGGATGATTTCAGTTTTGTAACACCTACTGCAGGGTTAGGGGTGTGAGGATGCAAACAGTCACGTTAGGGCCTTGTACCGTTTCCCTGGACAGAACTGCAAGTGCTTCTGGAAACAGGGAAAAGAGTTAGAAAAGACAGAACAGCTTGTTGCTAGAGTGAGTTACAGAGTTTGCAGCTTGCCTGGACCTTGCTTAGCACACAGACTGGGCAGATCTCAGTGGAACAAAATGATGCCAATAAAGTGACAAGATTTCAGCACAGCTTTTGCTACAGAAGATATATAAAAACAATTTTTTTTTCTTAACTAGGAAGGAACATAAGCAAAGAAGTTTTACAGTTCAGTAAAGAGGGTTCAGAAACTAAATGACTTTTTTTTTTTTCTTTTTTGTAACCAGGATGTTTGGTAGAGAGTGAACTGAAATCTGAGACCACAGAAGGATCTTACACCACCCTTCGAACTTCAAAAAACCTCTTCAGGTAGTAGATTTGTCCCAGTGTCATGGCAACTAGTACAAGGGCTTCAAAGAATGACCAAAGAACCACTCTGCTGTTTGTGTTGTCATTAACTGTAGGGGAAAAAAAAAGAAAAATAAAAAAGTAGTAAGCAACAAAGCATTTAAACTGAAAACATCCTGCCATGAATCTGCTTTTAAACCCACTTTGGACACACACTGCAGCTGTTTTCTCTGTTCTGCCCACACTTCTGGCCCCTGAGCTGCCAAACAAAGCCTCCTGCTTCTTCAGAGTCAAGCAGGGAGCTTCTGATCTCTGAAGGTTCTAAACATTCAGATTTTTCTTAATGCAGACCATAGTAACAAATGTCACAAAACTGGAGATATTCACAGCTTCAAATAATTGAGGAGACAGAGCTTTTATATAATGTTGTGTTTTCACATCAAAAATACTTGCCCTTGATTCTCACTCATGAAAGTAACAGTACTTCTGCTCTATTTCAACAAAACATTTTTAAAAGAGACTTTGGCTCAATTACTAAACCACATCCACTTCAAGGGTGAAGTAACAGTTCAACCAAAGTCTGGGAACCAAATCATGGAATGGTTTGGGTTGGAAGGGACCTTAAAACTCATCCATTCTCACCCCCCACCATGGGCAGGGACACCTTCCTTGGGCACCCCCAGCTCCTGTGGGCACGCTGTGCCAGGGCTGCACACACCCCCAGGGAGGAATTTTCCCTTTCAGTTTAAAACCATCCCATGGTTTACCCTCTCCTTGTACAAGGATTAAACAATACCATCACTGGTATCTCCATGAATACACCATTCAAACAACTGCAGAATTAAAACTGCTTAAGCAGAATTTACATCACTTCAGCAAATGTTACTTCGCACAACAACGAGGGGAAGCCAACTGAAAGATGACTTCAAGCAACACCCACATCCTTTATGTCAGGCCCTGCAGGATTTAAATTATTATTTTTGAAGTCACTTGGAAAAGCCCTGCTGGAGTGCTGTTGAAATGCCCATTCACAGGGTGCTGCAGAGGGGGAGGACTGGCTGGGGCAGGCACGTACTTGCTCGGTGTATTCTTTCGCGGACCTCCATGTACTCCTGCTCGTGCTTCACAGCTGTCATGGCCACTGCTAACTCGTTAATCATCTCTTCTAGCTTGTTCTGGTGAGCTGCAGGATAATTTCAGAAGCATCAGAAAGTCTGTTAGTGACTGCAGAAAGCCATTTCAACGAATTTATGAGACCATGGGCAGGGACACCTTCCTTGGGCACCCCCAGCTCCTGTGGGCACGCTGTGCCAGGGCTGCACACACCCCCAGGGAGGAATTTTCCCCAGTTTCTGATCTAAACCTCCTCCCTTTCAGTTTAAAACCATCCCATGGTTTACCCTCTCCTTGTACAAGGATTAAACAATACCATCACTGGTATCTCCATGAATACACCATTCAAACAACTGCAGAATTAAAACTGCTTAAGCAGAATTTACATCACTTCAGCAAATGTTACTTCGCACAACAACGAGGGGAAGCCAACTGAAAGATGACTTCAAGCAACACCCACATCCTTTATGTCAGGCCCTGCAGGATTTAAATTATTATTTTTGAAGTCACTTGGAAAAGCCCTGCTGGAGTGCTGTTGAAATGCCCATTCACAGGGTGCTGCAGAGGGGGAGGACTGGCTGGGGCAGGCACGTACTTGCTCGGTGTATTCTTTCGCGGACCTCCATGTACTCCTGCTCGTGCTTCACAGCTGTCATGGCCACTGCTAACTCGTTAATCATCTCTTCTAGCTTGTTCTGGTGAGCTGCAGGATAATTTCAGAAGCATCAGAAAGTCTGTTAGTGACTGCAGAAAGCCATTTCAACGAATTTATGAGCAGTTAAAGGTAATTTCCTGCTGCAGAAGGTCTGACAGTACAGCTGGACACTTCCTACCCTTAGAGCCAAGTGCAGTTTCTTTAGCACCTTCCCTAACGTGTCTCTGTGGTGTTTAACAAGTGGGAAAACATTTCTCCACATCCAAATAGGAGACACAATTTAGACTCAGCACAGAGCCCACGTTTCCAGACTTTTCCAGGAGAACAGAATGGAAGAATGCACGAGATCAATACCACACACTAATATCTATTTTGCCAATATCATCCAATATATTCCAAGCAAATTATCTTAACATGACAGCTTTTCCTAGTTGTTAAGCTTGCAAAAATAGAACAACTGAGAATTTAGCTCAAGATCATGATGCTGGCAAATCATGAGATCACTTTCTGAAGCAAAAAAATCACATCCTGTGATCTTCAAGCTCAGCTGAAACCCAGAACTCGGGGGGCACAGTGCCCAGGGGGGCTGGCACAGCCTTCTCTTGTGGTGTTGTGAAAGCAGGAGAGAGTTAAATACCAAACCAGTAGCACAAAACCAGCCTGAGACAGTTCAGCAAATGGAAGGCTCAGAGATGTAAGATTTAGTGGTTTGACTGTCAATCACAGGATCTTTTTAATACATCCACGCTCAAAGAACTGTCCATCACAAATTTATACATTAGGCAAGCCATTTGCAAAGTTTTCTAGCATCAGGTTGAGGTATCATTCCACAGACATGCCCTGGGCAATCAGCTCTCTTTAGAAGTCACAAAACCCAACATATTTTCCTTTCAAGGGACATTGACTTAGAAGCTACCTTACTACAGTTTTATTTGCAAATTAAGTGTTTCAGATCACAGTCTGAAAACAGAGCTATTCAAAACACACATCTTGTGGGGAACAGTCAAAAGAGAGGACCAGAGAATAACACTCATACAAGTTACAATTAAAATCTAAATAGTTGTGCACACCACACACACTTTCCTAATACCTCAAATCCCTTATTTTCATGGCCAACTGGTCACTGCAGTAAGTGCAGTTTATCAGTAACAGAAGAAACTACAGCTGCAGGACAGTCTAAAAACACTCTAAAAATTCACTTCAGAAAATTGTCTTATTGCATTAATACTCTTTACAACAAATATTTGCAGACTCAATAAAAGATTTAAGTGAGTCTTTTAAAAAAATCAAGTTTGGAAGGTGCTGTTTTTAAGTGACATCAAGCACTCAATGCCCAAGTTATTTACTTGCTAAAATAGAAAACAAGAATTTGTTGCCCTTTCTAGCTACAGTCACTGATTTCTAAATAAACTTTGTAACTTGCTATGCAATACATTAATTTATTTTTTTTTACAGCAAATGACAAGTTTGAGTTTTTCCCCTGACACATCAGTAATCATTCATAACCTACGAGCAGCTTATTGCTTCCAAAAGCTTTTGATTACTCAACATCCCCTTTAGCAACAGAAGGCAAACACTGCCAAAAACATCCAGCATTCTTGGGTGTTCAAAGTTTTAGCTCAGTTTCACCTAAACTGATTAAATCTTCTGATTAAATGTTCTGTCAGCCATGAATAACCACCTGAAGACAAACTGCCATGGCCAGTGCAAGGACCTGATCCCAAGAGCTGCTCAGGGTATAAACCTGCCACTGGGAGCTTGCAGGTGCTCAGCATTGCTCAGAATCAGACCTTTTGGGTAGTTTATTAAAAAAAGACATTCTCATGCTCCAAACCAAGGTTACAGAGAAAAAGCCAAGTTAGCTGTTAGTGAATGAACATGTGCCAGAGACAAGATGCTAAGGAGCTTTCAAAAAGCAGTCCACATACCATCCCAGGTATCTCCACCACCTAGAGGAAAGTGTGAGAGATGAACACAGGTACAGGACAAAAGGCTGCAGATAAAACAGTCATTTACACAGCTATGGGAGAAGTTTCATATTAGCACATTTATCAACTAAGGCTCCACACTGCTGAGCCTGCTAGGAATCAGAGGATGGCACTGATGAAGGGCTAAAGGATGGAAGCATTAGTGTCTGCAGGTGGCCGAGGGATTCTCTGCTGATTTTGCCTCAAACTGTGTAACCAGGTCTGAAAACATCCACTTTAGCTGTGCAGGACAACAGCTAATTCCACCTGGAGGAACGGGAATCCCGAGAGCCCTACTCAAGTTCCCAAATCATGCAAGGAGGGGAAAGCTCCCGAGCCGGAGCCGCGTTCCTCCCAGGACTCTTCCTCACCTTCTGTCTCCATGTCCTGCCCCTTGGGAGCTTCCCCGATATCGATAGTGAACATCACAATCTTGGGAGTCATGGTGGACATCCTGTTGCTAAAGCAGAACTTGTAGGTTCCATCCATGTGGGCAGCAAAGGTGTATTTTCCACTGGACTCTCGGTCGCCTTTATAAATCCCTTTATTATCGGGGCCCGTAATCTGCGTGGGGAAAACGGAGGGTCACGCTTTGGATTCCAAACCCAGAGGTTCCAAAAGCACCATCACAGCCCTGCCAGCCAGCCACTCGCAGGCACCAACACCATCTGCCATCTGGCTGCTTTGGCACGCTGCAATCTTTCCCTCCCACAGCTCCCCGCACAGAAATCTCTTTTGTAAAACCCCACAAACTTCTTGGTAAAGAAAATCAAGGAAAAGCTTCTCTCCCTGGCCTCCTGTGGTCGAGATAAGCAGTCAAGAACAAGCAAAGCACAAAGCCCGGCTGTTTGGCAAATTAACAACTGCAGGGGAAACCTTATCTCTGATGTCTGGAGGAAAACAAAAAGGAAAAAAAGCCAGTCTCCAATCGACTTCAGCCACACAGTCGGGCACTGCTGCAGTCACCATTTCAAAGGGACTGAACACCTGAGCTCTGAGCTCTCACTGCCATCCTGAATTCCCATCCCACCAGGCCACACTGTCCTGAGCTTCCACCAGGAACACGTGAAGGGCACCTCAGAGCTGCCGGCCCCTGTCCTGGGTCAGCCTCGTGTCATTTTGAACGGCTACGGGACTCTCAGCAACAACTCCCGCCTCTGTGACATCCCGAACAAAAACCTCTCAGCTCTTCAACGCCATGGAAGCAATTCCTGCTCAGCATCTCCTGATCTCATTCCTCCTCGAAGATCAGCGTTGGCTCAAAACTTCCCCGACGCCAACCCCTCCGGGTCCCGGGGGAAGCACGCCGCTCCTCAAGGGGCAGCCCCCGGTTCCAGGGAGCAGCCCCGGCCGCTCCTCCCGCCACACAATTCCCGGTGCCGCGGCTGCACCGAGCGCGGTGAGGACGGAAATCCCATGGGAAGCGGGGACAGCCCGAGCGCAGCGGAGCCGGCGGTGACACCGCACAGGCACCGGGGCCCGCCCGGGGCCGCCCACGCCGCGCCCCGAGCCCCCGGGGCCGCCCCAGGCCCCGCTCGGACCCTCTGACCCCGCTGCCGCCGCTCGCCCCGAGGGGCCCCGCACACAGCGCGGCCGCAGCGCGCGGGCCCGGCCCCGGGACCGCCCCGCTCCCCAAGGTCGGCCCACCCCGCCGCCGCCGCCGCCGCCGCACCTCCACGTCGATGTCCAGGAAGCCGCCCTCGGCCACCTCGAAGATGAGCCCCATCTTGGTGCCGGACGGCACGCGCTCCAGGAAGCACTCCTCGGCGTGCGCGTCGATGCTGACGAAGTAGGCGGCGGCCGGGGCCGCCAGCGCGGCCACCAGCGCCAGCACCGCCCGCACCGGCGACATGGCGGAGCGACCGGCGGCGGCACCGAGCGGCGCTTCCGGCCCGCGCCGCGCCCCTTCCGGCGCACGGGGCCGCCGCTCATTGGCTGCCGCCGCCCCGCTGCCACGTACCGGCTGCGCTACGGCGGCCGCCGGGAGACAAAGGGCGACGGGACCGCCAAAGCGCTGAGGCAGCGCCCGCGCGGCGCGGGAGGCGGGACCCACGCGAGGGAGCAGCCAATGAAAGGAGAGAAAAGGCGGGGCGATGGCGATGAGAGCCAATCAGAGCGAGGAGCGGGAATGAGGGGGCGTTTCCCAGCAACGGGGCGGGGCTAGCGCGGGGGGCGGGAAACGGGGGGTGAGGGGATGGGGGGGGGGGCGGCTCCTGAGGGACCCCGGCGGCTCCTGAGGGAAGGAGGGCAGGCGGGAGCGAGGCAAGGCGGCTGTCACAGCGACCGAGGCTGCTGCTAAAATTGGGAAATCAGAAGTTGCTGCAGCCAGGGAGATGTCTGGGGAGTAGCCAAGGCTTAAGGCGTTAATAGGGAAGCCCGGCTTGTGGGCTATTCACGCTTAAGGAAACACAGTCATGGCACGTCCAGTTTCTGCTTCACCCGAGAGTAACTGTTTAAAAACGCATTCCTTGCATGACCATGCTTAAGCGCTAATTTCCAATTAAACCTCCCAGAAAGAAGAACTTCATGCTTGAGCTCAAGGCAGCCTGTTTCGTGACTGTTTTAACGATGTGGGGAACAGACAAAGACTAACACAGCCTGGGTTTCCAGTGAAATATTTATGCGTTGCTTTCGCCCATAAGCGCCGCTTGTTGCACCTCGGTGACACTCAGACGCGTTTATCTGCACAAATGCCAGATTTACCTCAATCCATTCTGCTCTCCTGCGCCAGGCAGAGCTGCTGTGGGCAAGTGAGGATGTGAAAAACGCCAATCACTCGTTTTGTCCATTCAAACACAGGATTCTCTCTGGTCACTGTCAACTTCTCTTAATCCTCACGCCATCTTCCTGTCTGAGCGAGGTGGGAAGAAGTTAGTTTTCTGCTGATAAGGGAGCAATAAATTCCCTTTCTCTGGTAGATTTAGGTGTCCTGTGGCGTCCATCTGGTGCAAGTCCTTTCTTAACCAAATATCTTACATAGCATAGTTTCTATTATAACATAATGCTATAACCTAAAACAGTATTTAATAGTTAATTTAATACTTAAGAAAATTAATACAGCATAACTTTCTAACTTTCTAACTTCAGTTTGCATCAGGCCAGCATCGAACCATACCACAAACTCTGCTGGTTTTTCACCTTTCTCAGCTGTAGTTTTAGTCTTTCCACAAGTGCTCCCTACATTGTTGTATTTTCAGTCTACCCACACGCAAACAGAACAATGGGAGATCGCCTAGAACCAAATCCTTGTGGCAAAATCTCTTTTTCTCATCTCTAACTTGGGCAAAACGATGATTCCACAGCATAGCTGCTCCCCTGAGGTCCTGCAGCGTTCTCTAAATGTTCTGCTCAGGCTGCTGCTCCTCCTTGTGTGCTCGTAAGCACCTTCGCCAGGAAAGGATGACTACACCATTATTCATCCTCCTGCTCTCCCTGGAACTTTATGCAACATCCTGTGGTGTTCAACTTCAGGAGTAAGTTTCATGAGCAATATCTAGTTATATTTTCACTGAGTTATTGTTCCAACTTAGGCACTGATCACCAGGCTCAGGTATCTGGGGATTTTCCCCCTCCTGGCTGCCCTAGTACCTACTGGCAGGACATGACGAAGATCAATATTTTGTACCTTGTGGGAGAACGAGGTTGTGAGAGAATCGCGTTAAAAAGCTGGTCTGGGGGTCACAGTGTTGCATTTCTGGGAGCTACAGTGTTACATTTCTCACCGTTCATCCCTCCCATCCACCTATGCCGGCGTTTTGCATCTGCCAAAAGTGGATAATTAATTCACATGTATTCACAACATGCAGCACGTGCCAAGTCATTCCAGGCTTGGCTTTTGCAGCCCCACTGCTATTTCTCCTGACTAGTTCCAGTGTTTGATATTATTCATCATATCTTGTCCAAAATAAAATACATTCTTCCTACTCTGCATACAGCAAATGGCAGAACTGGGACCTAAAATTATTTAAGGTTAAGGCACATTTAACTTATCTGTAGAGACTCATCTGGAGCATCTCTTCCTAAACCCTACGGAAATAAGAACATCCAAACTTTCACAGTCACACCTGAAAGCAAAAATACTGAAAAACCTGACGAGAAAAACGCATTTCATTTTCCTTTAAATTCCTCTGTAAGTGGATCCATGCCAGCAAGCTGCTTGCACGTGTAAAATCTCCAGCGATCCTCTGAACATGTGCTCAGTAAAGACCCTGTGCTCTTGCAGAGAAGAGCCTAAAGCCCCTAAGTGATGTGTGAGAGCCGCTTGCTGTGCTGCAGAGCGGCTTGTTCACCCTTCCGTGTGCCTGCAGACATCCCTCGTTCTCCGTGCGTTCGGGAGCGGGGGAACATCACCCCCCGTCCATCCCGGACCGGACACGGCGGCTCCGGACCCTCGCTCGGTGCTGGGTACCGCGGGCACGCCCTGCCCCTGCTGCTCCATCGTCTGTGCGGGCCCCGAGCTCTGTCCCCGAGCCCCCGCGGCTCTCCTCCCCGCAGGAGAGGCCGGTACCGGGAGCCCTCCCGCTGCTGCGGGCAAGCACCGAGCGAAGCGCGCCCGCGCTTGGCGATGCTCCTCTCCCACCGGGAGCGAAGCCCCGCGGAGCAGCGACATCCACCGCGACTGGGGCCGGCGGGGACGGCCAGGGGAGCCGGGATGAGCGGGGGATGGCCCCGGGAACCGGGACTCGCGGGGGCCGCGGGCATGCGCGGGGCCGCCCCCGGCCCGCCCTGCGCCGGGTATTGGCCGCGGGCGGCGGGGCGGTGGTGGCGGGGACGCCGCGCCCGCCTCCCGCCGCCGCTCCCCCAGCACCGCCCGGCCAAGTTTAAACACCCCCGGCCGAGCCGCCCGGAGTTCGCGGGAGTTGCCGGGAGCCGCGGCCCGGGCGTGGGGCAGCGG